TGTTTGTCATTATGGCCGAATAGCGCAGAGGATTACAGATAGCCACATATCTATCAACAGCCATTATAATGAGTATAGTGTGAGCGGTGGTACCAAACATATGTGTAGTAAAAGCTTGCACCACACATTCTGGATAACTGATAAGGCGTTCAGAGGGAGGCCGCAGGGTATCTGAAAGCAAACGAGGAACCATGATAGAGTTTCCAAGAATGTCATTCAGAGGCAGGTTGCAGAAAAGGAGATACATGGGCTGGTGAAGGTTCTTATCAATTAAAACTAGGATTATAATACCAACATTAGCGAACATAATAAAAAGGTATGAACAAAACAAAAACAAAAATACAGGGTAAAGGGACATTTCCGTGACCTTTAAGCCCTCCAGTTGGATGTAAAAGCTGTTGTAAGTGTAGTTTTCCATCAACCTGAATCAAAAAACACAAATGGGAGGATGCTGATTAGTCCCAAAAGTCATTTTAACACAAGGTATGCATTTCTGCAAATGTAAACCAAGGATACATTGGAAATATTTCAGTGATTTGATCATCAAAATCAGGTCAGTAATACCTTACATGTCTCTTTCCGTGCCTGTTGTAGACTGCTTCTCACCAGCCAGTCTTCTGTCTCAATTTTAAAAGAGATGTACAGTACTGTCCTCCTGGGTGACGTAACATCAACTCATCAAACTGGTAGCGATAGCAACCCCTGCCTAACTAATGGGTTTGACAGGGCTTGTTGTTGAGTTATTATTAGAGATTTTATTAGAGCATTATAATAGAATACCTGGCATTTTTCCGCCTTGATTTGATTAATTTCATTGTTAAAAATGGTTTCATTGATATTAATGGTCACCCTTCGAGGTCAATGCCTAATCTTAACCTTGTGAGGTCAGTGCCCAATCTTAACGGTACGAGGTCAATGACTCACCTTCACAATTCAAGGTCAGTGTCCAACCTCAACCCTATGAAGCCATAAAACACGATGTCGCTGTAACTCCAATGGACATGGTCCATGCCTCAACAGCTCTACGCCAAATACGAGATCTCACCATATGCAGTTTCCGTGGCAACGCATCCATCGCCAAAAAACACGATGTTGTCGTAAGTCATAGGAACATTGACCAAATGGCACCAGGCTTCAGAGGATGGTTAACACTCCGGCCCTCAACATTGTTGCCATGACAACACATAGTAATGTGTTGTCATGGCAACAATGTTGAGGGCCTGGTGCCATTTGGTCAATGTTCCTATGACTTACGACAACATCGTGTTTTATTAGGAGTTACAGCGTTATCTTGTTTCATGGTGAGTACACCATGAAACAAGATAACGCTGTAACTCCTATACAAATTGTCAAAAGGTGCTCAAACTTCACATCTGTGCTAACAGTCCAGCCGTGAAGACATCTACGTTTCAGTTTTGAGATTTCACACATGCTGTTGCCATGGAAACACAATGCTCACCATGAAACGCGGTTTCTTATAACTTCAGTGTAAATGCTTCAAACGGCCGGAAACGTCTCATGTTATATAATGATGCAGCCCTCAAGACATTTAAGAGTATTATGGGGTGTAATCGTATGACATGCGGACAACAGCGGACCTGCGCGGATCATCGAAGACCCATTCATTGCTGCTCGCAGCTTTCATTTAACTTAATTCTGTCCGTTTCCATTATTCCGTTTTTTTTTTTTCATCGAACTTCAGAAAGTTGCTTTTGTCTCCTGTCTCTATTGGAGTGATAGGTAAGTCAGAGGATTGTAGGGTCAGTTCATGATGATTTTTGGCCACTGGTTATGAAATTGCTAAGGTCCTCATACAATATAGAGAGAGAAACTTGGTCTGAATTAAAGGGATAGTGGAAATCCGCGAATTTTGGGTTTAACTTATGTATTTTTATTAAAAAGAAGCATAATAAACCATTTTTTTTAATTTCATGCGCCTAGTTTCATTTTATTTTCAATTTTACTGTGCCCTCTCAATGAAACGAAATACTTCGGGAATCGTCGGGAATCTTCGGGTGATGACGAGAGCATAGGAAGACGGGCACAAACAATGGCGGACATTCAATAGCATTTGCATGTGAATAGCCGACCTTTATTATGGTGAATAGATGTGTTTTGTATGGCTGTAGTGCGACAGAAAAATTATACGTGACACAACGACATTGGATTAACCTTGAGATGCGTTTTTATTCCGTTGAACACAACTTTTGATCACAAATCAAAAAAGGTAAGACGTAATTATTGTAATATTTTTGGAACCGGATGTTGTTTACTTTCTCTTTTCTGGCTGATAGCTCCAGGAATTCGAGGTCTTACAGTGATGACATTACATGTGTGGAATCTGTGGAGTCTCAGCTTTAAATCGTATATCTTGTTTGTGCAGTTAAGATAGTAATAAGGGCATTTCTACCGTGTGTTGTGTGTAAAAAAGCGTTAGCATTAGTTAGCATTGTTTCGCTCAATGCTAATTCAAAGGCTTGGTATTACTCTTGTGTTTTTTCTAGCTAACAATTGTTCTTATTGTCAGTTAGCGGAGTTTCTTACCTTTAAAAGGGTATGAAACATTAATAGTTTCATAAATGTTAAGAAGCCCTGAGACATGTGAGAGAAAAAAAACTGTGGGAGGGGTCCACTGGGGGGACCTTCGGCCTTAACTGGTTAACAATGATTAATATTTGTAAAGGCTACAGGTGATCTTAAGATGCGTGAGCTATGCTTAGGGACCTACCAGTCAAGATTATTTGTGCGTAGGGGTGCATCATCTGGCGCCTGGTCCTGGTCATCCTCGCCATTGCCCATGCCGTGAACCATCACCTCGGGCTCGGGCTCGAACAAATAAGGACGTAATGGTTCATCGTCTGGCTCAATATTGTCACCATCGTCGCTTACTGAACCGGATTCAGATTCAGTTCCTAAAACGACATTTTCGTAGGAAAGCCGAGAGGATGTTTCTGACTCGCTATCATCACTGGATACCTCGTACAATCCTTCTTCTTTGTCTGGTATATTTGCCCTTCCACGTTCATTCTGCATAGACGCCATGGTTTGTTATCGTATCGTCTTCCTAAGTTTTCGTCACTTCCGGTTTGGCTGAGTCGAACATTTCGTTTCTAAAAAACTTCGGGGAAGCTGCAATAAAGTGCTTCTAACATGCGTAAGGCAATTATTATATTTTTTTAATCAGGTGTGATTGTTTTGGTACGTAATTATGCTTGTATATAAGTTAAAACGAAACTATTTGAGGTTCCATTTCCACTATCCCTTTAAAGGTTAATAAAATATGTAAATATGCCAAAGATGTAAATATGCCATATGTCAAATGATTGCTGCCTTAGTTGCGTCCGGGCCCCCTTGGCCTCCCTGCTCAGTGATGTAATGTAGACATGACCTTACTGTTTTACCACGTGTGTTTGCTGTTGTTACAGTGATGTGTTAATTAGCACCATAATCAGCAGGAACTCTGCAGGGAAACTTCATCTAACCCCAACCTCCCACCACACCAGCTGAAGTCGATCAACAAGCTCTCTGTTGAGGAACATTTCTCTACGCTCAGACTCAACAACTAACGAGAAACCACCAGGCGACTCATACCCCCATTGGGTTTAAGGCATTCAAACAACAGCAATATTCGAAAGATTATGCAATTAAGAGATTTCTTACAACTTTGTGCAATCTTAAATTAAATGATTCCAGAGTGACAAAATAGTTTAAATTATATTTCTCCTACTCGTAACATTTTGTTTATTGTGAATAGTTCTCAAACCCGGCATTTGGAAATGTTTAGGGAAAAAGGTTGTACAAACTGTGACTCAAATTAGGAATATGTACAGAAAAAGGAAAATCAGATTTTAATTCAACTTGTACATGCTTGTTCTCCAACTTTGTCCGTAAAACGTTCGTGTTTTTGTACCATATTGAATACCATTATTGGGCATTTGAGCCACAGGGTGTCGACGCAATGCTGTATCTGTCCTTTCATTGGATCCAGAACCACGTGGCCCCCAAACCCTTCCTGGGTGATTGCAAGTTAGTTTATTTTTGTTTGTTTGTACGAGCACGGTTGCGGTAGAGGTCTGCACTCTTGTAGTCGTTCTCCTAGTTTTAGTTAGTTTTGAGTTCATATTTTTGCCAGTTTTGCACCTAGGAGTGACCCCCAAGAAGTGCAATCATCTTGGACAATGAGCTTAAATAATCACAAAAGGGTTGAATACTCTTATATCTAATATAGAAAAAGTCACAATAATTTGAGTTCACAACAGAGAAGCTTGACCTTTGACAAGTTCTCTGAAAGATGAATTCTCTGATTGGGCCCACTGGCAATTATATAGCATTTTTTACGCTGTCTGTTGATTTGTTTTAACAATGATACGTTCTTCGAAAAGCTAAAATGTATAAACAGTTGATATTATTTCAGCTGTAGTAAAGTTCTCTAAATGTTTTCATTGCTGTATCTGACAGTGTAATGTTAGGTCCCCCCCGGCCTGTGCATGTGTTTGTTGCACACATTATTATTAATGGGCTGTAATGATTGTCCTGGAGGCCTCAGAGCTCCCTGGTGTCTCAGTGACCGGCAAGTTAATAGAAATAAAAGCTGCAGTGAGGCGTTCAGGGGCCGACAGACAGGGATCCACTCGGTCTCTGGAGAAACTGAAGCCTTCAGACCGGCCTTCTGTACTCAAGATGTCTTGCACTAGTTATGGTATTTGGGGTAGTGGTATACATGTTACACACATTACTTATTGGTATTTCTTACAGAAAACACTGATCTGTATAACTTAAATGACTAATATCAAAAAAGGCCGACCAATATTCACACACACACACGCTGGAGGAGGAAGTGAAGTGATAACTATTAGTAAACCATAATGATGGATGTTATTATCAGCAGCTGCCAATAGATCCCCTAAATCTTGTTTGAAGCACAAGCGCACGCACGAGCGCATTATTGTGGGAACAATCAAACGGACCCTCCCAGGCACTGCGTGTTAGCGAAGTACAACTGGGATTTCGAAGAGGAAGATATGCTTGGTCAATTCTTAATAAAAAAGAAAAACCAACAAATTGAGCACTTGAGTTTTCATTAGCAGCGCCTAGCTACAGCTGCGGAGCTTCGGTCAATACCACTAACAGTCTATTTCCTTAAAATGGTACATATCGCTGAATCTAGGGGTGGGCGATATTGAAAAATATGTTATCACGATATTTTCAAGCAGTATCACGATAGACGATATATATCACGATATTTTTTCATGTCGGTTATTATGGTTATTTTTCAAGTTACTTAACAGTACAAGCACCTACAAGGTAACAGAAACTAAAACAAAAAGGAGTAACAGACCAAAAAAGCATTTCAAGCTGGTTTTATTTCTGAAATGAACAAGTGAGCAGTGAACATCAATAAACATGAACATCAATAAACATATTATTATTATATAACAAATATAAGCCAACAGAATCAAACAAGACAATAAATAAAGTGCAAAACTGTCTGAATCCTGACTAGACAGCTTTAGAGCATGTCTTCACATTGTATAGTTTTCTTTTTTTTTAAAACTTGTTTTACTTTTCTTTTCTTGTTGACAGAACACAATCACAGATTTGTTGCCAGGAAAATCAGTTTGTCAACTTTCTCTGGCTTGAGAGTTGCCCTTTGGCATGTGACAATATTGCCACCAGTGCTGAACACTCTCTCTGAGGGAGCACTAGTTGCCGGAATGCAGAGATACTTTCTAGCTAACCCTTGGAAAGTTTCCATCATGGTTTTGCCACCATTCCAGAGGATCCATTTCACTGTCTGCATTTGGTACGGACAGGTAGGACTTCAATTCTGCATCTATTGCTTCTTTTAGGGATGGAGAAGCAGCAGATGTGCCAGCTGAAGTTACAGAGGTCTTCAAAAAGCTGGCCAGTGTTTTCTTAGCTTTCTTTTTGTGGGGGCCCTGGTTTGCTTCTGCCTCAAGGCTCTGTGATGTGGAGGTAGATGAAGATGCTGCGGGACACTGCGCTTGTAAAGTGACAGTCAGCAAGGACTCAAGCTCAGACACAGCTCTGGCTTGTATCTTCTCTAAGTTGTCACTGTCAATGTACTTTATTTTGAACCTTGGATCAACAAGTGAAGCCATATCCAGCAGTTCTCAGTTTTGGGATCCTTGTATTTGTCAGTGAGGTAGTTGAGAATGGTCATCTTCATTTCTCCTGAGAGGTCAGTGTCGTCATCATCCGCTTTTAAGAGGTGTTCTTTGAACAGGTGAAGCACTGGCTTTACATAAGACACACTCACATAGTCCTCACCTAAAAAGAAAAGAAAAAAAGAGGACAAATAGTAATTATGTTTGTATATTGAGTTGTATTGATTGTATTGCCACTTTTCTAATTAAAAAATATATAAATAATAAAACATTTAAATAAACTCACCTGAGAGTGCATCTGTGAAGTCCCGTAGTGGACCCAGGGCCTTCACTACAGACTCCATCACATCCTTTTCGTTGTATCCAGGGACCAAACACCTTGTCTTCTTGTCTGCCTTAAGGATCTCAGAAATGGCCTTTTCCTGTTCCAACACTCTCTCAATCATAGCGAGTTTGGAGCCCCATCGAGTTGGTGAGTCGGTGATGAGTTTGTGCGGAGGTAGCTTCATCTCTGTTTGAAGCCTAGCCAACTCCCTCTTTTTCTTCCAGCTGAAGGAGAATGCACTGACCATTTTCTTCAAGATGGACACTGTGCGATCAACACGAGGGTCTTTGGCACTTTTTTCTAAGAAATAGAAGATGAAGATTTATTAATCTGGTTTAACCTCCTCTGCCAACTATTTTGCATAACAATGCAAAGTTTGGCCTAGCTTGTAGAATGCAATATTTATTATCACTACTAAATATATATATTTTTTTTACAAAGGACTTAATTGGTTAATCACACAATACATTTTGATTCACATTTTCATTAAACTATTTATATTTTTAATTCTACTATTTTTTTTCTTGTTTTGGAGATATGGATTTTTATATATTTTATTGAAATGCATCACACACGAAATGAAGAAACGTATCATTTGTAGTCATATATTAATATAATACTTGTTTCACTCACCGATGGCCAGGTGAAGTCTGTGACCAAAGCACTGCAGGCGAGTCCAGGCGTTAAGATCCAAAGCTTTAACCATGTTGGCTCCACTGTCTGTGGTCATGCAGATCATGTTCTCCTCTTTCAGTCCCCAGCCTTGAAGTAAGTCCCTTAGGCCATGTGCGATTAGTTCCCCTGTATGGTCTACCGGGAAGTATATCGTTTGGAGACATGCACTTTGCAGCTTCCACTTGTGAATGAAATGAATGGTCAGACTCATATACGGTTCTGACGTGCGGCTAGACCATAAATCACTGGTTGTAGCAAAAAACTGGACATTTTGAATTTCCTGTTGTACCTTCTCTCGGCATTCAGTGTACATTTGTGGAATGGCCTTTGTAGAAAAATATTTTCGACTGGGCACCTGGTACCGTGGGTCAACTGTTTTCATCAGCCTCACGAAACCTTTGTTTTCCACGCTCTGTATTGGTTGCATATCTTTGGCCACATAAAACGCCACCGCGTCAGTTATGTCTTTCCACCGTTTGCTAGTCTTTTCATAAGGAGCCCCTTTATGAAATGCCTGACCTATGGTGGTTTGTTTTGGTGCAGTCGCTGCGGTAGATTGTGCATTCACACGCGGGGGACCTTGCACTCTTACAGTCTCTGCATGCTCTTTCTGGTGCTTGCGTTTGAGGTGGTCTCGTAAGCCCGACGTGTTGCCATCTGTCGCTTTGAAATGTCCTTGTTTGCACATTTTGCAGATGACATTTGTTTGCTCCGTGTCTGTTGTCTTATAGCCAAAATACTTCCATACCACAGACGTAGAGTTCTTTTTGGGGACTAAATCTAATTGTTCTACATCAGAATCTGACTCTCCGTCCATTATTGCTGTGTGTCTGTCAACAGTGTATTTTCCCGCTGCAAAGAAAGGGGGCGGGGACTTTGGGAGCGTGTCAAACAACTCGGACTGAACGAAAGCAGAGGTGCGCTGACATTGTGAAATCGATCGGGCTTGATATATGGTGAAATTAAAATCAGTAGGTGAGGCTGGGGGAGCGGGAGGGTAAGAGGCTCTCCGTCCGCTGTCATAGCCCCCTGCGCCGCACACGGAGAGCCTCTTCCCCTCCCGCTATTTTTCTTTTTCTTTTTTTTTTTATCACTATAGGACGATATCTCTGAAAAAGCATATCGTGGAGACCTAATATCGTCACGACGATATATATCGTCATATCGCCCACCCCTAGCTGAATCTATATTTTCATCTTCAGGTGATTGAATCTAAATAATGTTCCTGTACAATAAGATTCGAGCATTTTGTAATCCAGTGAGGAAATTCAAGACCAGTAAATATTGATTGATTAAACAACACTAAATAAAATGTTAGTGTTTTCTTCAAACTCAGACTCTCTGCTGCGGCTGTACCTCAAAGACAAAACAATTGTCTGATGATCTTTGTTGAACAAGGTCTGATTGTCCTGTACATGTACAATGTGGGGTATTTTTTAAATACTTTACTAAACCACATTCAATATTATGTTAGACACAAGTTAGTTATTACTCACATATCAAAGTCTTTCCATCTGCAAGATGGAAGAATAGCTGGGTGCTGCCTGGAGAGACTGATGAGGGACACAGGCTGCCATCAGCAGCTTTCCACACAAAGCCATCACATCTTCTCTTCCATAGTCCTCACTGTCCACTGGTGCTCTGTCAAAAGAGTGAACATCACAGCCGTCATGTTAACCCTTTGTTACACAACATACAACCAACATGTGTCAAAAGTGACCCAAATTAGTTTTAATTGTAAATATCTTTGCAATAAATTACTTCAACCATTCAGGATTCCAGGTATTCCTCAATTAGCCTGTTTTGGATCAACACCAATTCTAATTTTTATTTTTCCCTTACTTACTTTTTGAATAAAAATCATGTTTGTATCACTACACTTCTAAGGCACAACATGGGTCAAACATTACCTGTATTCTTTTGCCATGTTATTTCATGCATGGCTGAGTGTTTCTTTACTATACATTTTCAAAAATAATTAATTTTAGCAGTGATTTGGACCAAGCATGTATGATGTAGTAATACAACACGTATTTTAGTTCACACAGTGTGACATTAGCTAGTCATGTTAGCGTGTAATATATAGAGCAGAGCTAACTAGCAAGTTAGCGGTTAGCTGTTTATGCTATGCTAGCTGTTGGCTACTGAACATTAACAAACTAGATTCCGCTGTAAGAAAGCTGTGAAACTTTACATTAAACTTGGCGACAACACTGTGACACCCCACTGCATGTTTAGGTGTAATTCTCCCGTGTTGCAGACGAGAGGGTGGGGGGGGCAGCACTGCAATAAGCTGTAAGCTAACGTTAGCAGCCGCATGTTAAGCCGGGTTTCCCGGGCGCAACATCTTGCAAGAAACAGCATCTCAGGGATTCTTAACATTTAACAACCTATTAATGATGCATACCAACTTAACGGGACTCACCAGATCTCAAGTCTTCTGTTATTTGTTGACGTCCCGATGCTCATATTTAACGTGTAGATGTAAAACGATCCCGATATGAATCCATAAACTCCTGTAGCAGACACACAGACAGCTGTAGCTCCAGCAGGAGGAGACCCGCTCAAACTGACGTGGATGTTTCAAATGTGAACGACAGGCACGGACAGTTCTCATTGGCAGGTTTCTTCGATTACGTTTATATTAACCAATCAGGAGTGTTGTGGACTCATTCCAAACATCCCTGACTTTTCTGCCGTGTTCTGGCTGAATTCTATTTCAAGTGCCGTAGCTCTGGCAGTGGGCCAGAATCGGAAAACCATACATTATACTGTAAAACTAAGGTTTATTACTGTAAATTGACCAATGGAAAAAAAACACAGCAACATAAATAAAACAAGGATAACTGTGACTTGTTGAGTAAATAACAGTGTGTGTTTTAAACCTTGGTCCTCCCTGCAGAGATTTCTCCACTTTCTATGATTTTAATTTGTTTTAATGATATTGTCAACTGTCGATGTTTACAATATAGTAAGTTAGGAATATCATGAAAACATATTTATTTACTTTTGTTTCAACATTGGATATTTAGTGTTTGTGGTGGATTCAATCGAATATTGAGAAAACTATTTATGTAAAAATGTTTTACTTACATTTTACGTTTTTTTTATTTGACGCTTTTTTTTTTTACAGTTTTATGTTTACCTTAAAATTACAAAGAAAATCTTAAAGTCTTATAATAGTAATACACTTTTATATTACAAGTTACATATTTAATTACAGATAACACTTTTTATTTTACGTACATCTGCATGTATTTTCTGAAAGTGCAAACATACTGTAAATATTATATAGTACATTTACTGTAAAACAAAGGAAATAAACGTTATTTGTTATTTATTGTCAAAATACTTAAAATAATGTTTTGGGTTGTTAATTTATAGTTAATATCTGTCATTTTACAGGATTTTGCAAGTTATTTAAAAAAACATGATAATTACTATAAAAATTTACAGTTATTTCCTGTAAAATTACGATCTTTTTTTACAGTGCAGTATAAAAGACACCTGTCCACAACCTCAAACAGTCAGACTCCAAACTCTACTATGGCCAAGACCAAAGAGCTGTCAAAGGACACCAGAAACTAAATTGTAGACCTGCACCAGGCTGGGAAGACTGCATCTGCAATAGGTAAGCAGCTTGGTGTGAAGAAATCAACTGTGGGAACAATTATTAGAAAATGGAAGACATACAAGACCACTGATAATCTCCCTCGATCTGGGGCTCCACGCAAGATCTCACCCCGTGGGGTCAAAATGATCACAAGAACGGTGAGCAAAGATCCCAGAACCACACGGGGGGACCTAGTCAATGACCTGCAGAGAGCTGGGACCAAAGTAACAAAGGCTACCATCAGTAACACACTACGCCGCCAGGGACTCAAATCCTGCAGTGCCAGACGTGTCCCCCTGCTTAAGCCAGTACATGTCCAGGCCCGTCTGAAGTTTGCTAGAGAGCATTTAGATGATCCAGAAGAGGATTGGGAGAATGTCATATGGTCAGATGAAACCAAAATAGAACTTTTTGGTAAAAACTCAACTAGACGTGTTTGGAGGAGAAAGAATGCTGAGTTGCATCCAAAGAACACCTACTGTGAAACATGGGGGTGGAAACATCACGCTTTGGGGCTGTTTTTCTGTAAAGAGACCAGGACGACTGATCCGTGTAAAGGAAAGAATTAATGGGGCCATGTATCGTGAGATTTTGAGTGACAACCTCCTTCCATCAGCAAGGGCATTGAAGATGAAACGTGGCTGGGTCTTTCAGCATGACAATGATCCCAAACACACCGCCCGGGCAACGAAGGAGTGGCTTCGTAAGAAGCATTTCAAGGTCCTGGAGTGGCCTAGCCAGTCTCCAGATCTCAACCCCATAGAAAATCTTTGGAGGGAGTTGAAAGTCTGTGTTTCCCAGCGACAGCCCCAAAACATCACTGATCTAGAGGAGATCTGCATGGAGGAATGGGCCAACATACCAGCAACAGTGTGTGAAAACCTTGTGAAGATTTACAGAAAACGTTTGACCTCTGTCATTGCCAACAAAGGGTATATAACAAAGTATTGAGATGAACTTTTGTTATTGACCAAATACTTATTTTCCACCATAATTTGCAAATAAATTCTTTAAAAATCAGACAATGTGATTTTCTGGATTTTTTTCTTCTCATTTTGTCTCTCATAGTTGAAGTGTACCTAGGATGAAAATTACAGGCCTCTCTCATCCTTTTAAGTGGGAGAACTTGCACAATTGGTGGCTGACTAAATACTTTTTTGCCCCACTGTACCTGCAGAACTAATGCCATCGACATGGTTCATTGATATTATACCTGCAAACTATTAGCATTTTAGCATTGGTGTTTTCGCACAACCCACTAACTTCATGAAACTGACCTGTTGTGAGCCTCTTTTTCCAGTTTCATTTGAAATGTCTTGAGTTTACGATGTAGGATAACATCTTGGTAGACGATAGTGGAAATCAACAGTTACAGGTTTGAGTCCCGGAGGCTTTCATTACCCTCTGAGCGCTGATAGACATCTATTACTGGGCCTCTCTCTTTGCTCCCACAGGTCTAATTACCATCAGAAACTGTGTTTGTATGGAAGCAGCTCACAGCGGACCTCATTAATGGTTGTTTAAGGAACATTACACATCACTGTTGCCACAGCAGAAAGTATGTTGTAGACCACTAGGGGGCAGTGTCCTTCCCTGAGCTCCCAACATGCAACAGTTTCAGCAAACTTTTAGTTAGTAACCACAAACAAACACAGTGAGATCATTTGACATCTTTAATGATGTTTCCGTAAACATGTCACAACTAACTTTCATTGCTATTTCTTCAGTTGCTTGTTAAATACAACTTTTTTTTGGCCAA